GGAGGAGAAGAGGGGAAGGAAGCAAGGAGAGAGGGCTGGGTGGCCTGGGAAACCAAGCACTCACCTAACATAAAGCCACAGCCCCACCCCCACCCCATCCCCACACCCCCTGTCCCAGTCATGAAAGGATGCAAATTGAGTCCTGATCTAATGTGGGGGTAAATTGGGCCCATATGCCAGCGGAGTTGGGGGGGGGTGGACTCCATTGATTCAAATACTCACCAAGACAGCATCTTTGAAATGGGAAGCACAGAGCAATACTGAAGTTTCAAAGGGGGGGTCAATTCTTAGGAAGAATTGACTGGTGGCTCACACCTGTCATCCTAGCTACTCCATAGTCTGAGATCTCAAGATGGCCAGCCCAGGCAGGAAAATGTGAGACTCTTAACTACTCAGAAAAGGCCAGAAGTGTTGGTGTGGCCCAAGTGGTAGAGTGCTAACCTTGAGCCAAACAGCGACAGCACCCAGGTCCTAAGTTCAAGCTCAAGGACCAGCAAAAGAATAAGGTAAGATAACACCGTTCCTAGCCAAGTGCCCAGGGGCTACCTCACTACTCAGCAGGCTGAGATCTGAAGGTTCCCCGCTGAAGCCAGGCCACACAGGAATGATTCTTGTTCCAATTAACCAGTAAAGATAATTCTTATCTCCAGTCCAGTAAAACAGCAGTGGAGGTGTGGCTCAAGTGGTAAGGTACCAGCAGAAAAGATCAGGGACAGAATTCAAGCCCTCCGACTTGCATACCCACACAAAAAAATCCTGTTCCTAGGCTATATTTCTGTCACTTAAAATATTCAATATGTGGTTATGCATAGCCATACTCATACTCTATTCCAAAATAAGATCAAAAGAGTTCATACTAAAAACACTTAGAGCCAGGCACTGGTGGCTCATGCCTGTAATCCAGGCTACTTAGGAGGCTAAGATCTGAAGATCCCAGTTTGAAGCCAGCCCAGGCAGCAAAGTCTGTGACACTCTCATCTCCAATTAACTACAAAAAAAAAAAAGCCAGAAGTATAAGTGTGGCTCAAGTGGTAGAGCACTACCCTTGAACAGAAAGGCACAGAGACAGTATCCAGGCCCCAAGTTCAAGCCACAGCAATGGTCAACAACAACAACAACAAAATTAGAAGCAAAAAGGAAATGCATTTATATGTTGAAAAAGTATATTTCAGTTAATTGTATCTTGCAGAACACATACTGCATAAATATTTGATAACTAGCTGGAATAATTTTTAAAATGTGTGCTTTATAAGTGCAGTGTTGTGGTACATGCCTAACTATAGTCCCAGCACTTGGAGGCAGAGGACGAAAAGCTTGAAGCCAACTTGCACTATATATAATAAGCAAGACCCTGTCTCAAAAACTTGAAACTCAATCGAACCTAACCAATCAACCAAACTAGCAAAAGCAGAACCAAAAATAAGACATAAGTGTCCAAAGTAGAAAAATTAGAGCTTAAAAACTAAATTATGGGGCTGGGAAGGTGGCTCAGTGGTAGAGCGCTTGCCTTGCATGCCTGAGGCCCTGGGTTCCATTCCTCAGCCCCACATAAGCAAAAAGAAAAAAGCCGGAAGTGG